CTGAAAAGTCTGTGATTAAGAGGGGAATAAACCTTATGGGATTGACACAGGATATCAGGTAGAGGTATTAGATTCCTTCAAAATAATATGCGTACAACCAAGTTCAAGCTTCATGGTAGTTGTAGCAGCTGTCAATGTTAAACAGTTAATATCTGTATTTATATGGAAGTTATAAAATGAGTTAAACTCACAATAGTTCCAGCATGTTTTATTTAATTATTAGGAATTTTTTAATAACTTACACGGTTTGATAATTTATGTACCACAGTATCTTCATTCTACCCATGATCTCTTATTTTCGAGAAAGTTTTTATCACATTTCATATTACGGCATATTATTGCAATGAGAAGTTTAATTTTCTTGACACTGCAATGAAACGCCTGGATGATGGTAGTCTCTAGAGATCAACTCACAGAAAATCTATATCGAATGGACAAAATAGTCAAATTTCAGTGGTTTTTGTCCAAATAGCCAGCGGTAAATGAACACTGGGCAAAACATTGTTTACTTTAGACCTAGGCGATTATGTTTTACAGAGGAATTAGAAGAAACATTTATTTTTCTTGAAAAGATGTTGAATAGTAACAGTTACCCTCAAAGGTACGTTAACAAGTATGGAAGAACTGAAGGCTCAAATATCAAGCGAATCGCAGTGTGAAAATAGCCTATCTTCATTCAACTTGATTTTAAAAGGAAATATATTACAGCAGTTGTCAACAGAGAAGTGAGGACGTCACTAGGTAGAGCCTATCCTGCAGCTAAGCTGGTTCCTGTCCACCGAACAAATTGCTCTTTGGTGCAATCAAAAATCGATAGATATCCTCCACACGTTAACTCTAACTGTGTATACAAATTTAGATGTATCTGCTGGAGCAGTTACACTGGAAGAACAGGAAGAAAGACATACCCCTGATTTTCTGAATATATACTGAGAAGTCTGCGTCTCAAGGGAGCAAACGCTTTCAATAGTGCCATCGCCAAGCATCTACTTGATACGGGTCATGAGGTTGACATTGCAAAATCCTTTAAAATTATCACTACACAAAACAGTTCACATCTTCACGTTTGCCGAAGCAATCTGCATCAAGCTCCTGAAACCGTATTCACGTGTTCAGAAATAAACAGTAATCAGATTTTCCTTCCTCTGGTAATTGGATGTCTTTACTGTCTCTCTCTCTTTCATTTGATCACATAATCGTTGACTTTTACGTCGCACTCTTTTGATTAATTGTAAATTTGCTCGTCTCTTATTTCTACGCTTGAGCTGAAACCACTCTAGTGTTAATCAGTTTATTCCTTACTCATCATTTTACTCACCTCTTGTGTTTATTACGTAACTTCTTTACCATTCTATGCATGCAGTGGTTTTTATTCAAACTTAAACCCTTTGGTACAAACTATAAATCTGTAGTTTTCTGAGCACTATTAATTAAGTTTGGAGCCTCCTGTCAACTTGTGTTAAGACCTGTCTGCAAGCCGAAAATTGTAGACAACAACTTACGTCAATGTTCACGTCCCGAATCGGGGTCATGAGGAGAAAAAACAATAACAAAGATTAACCTTGGGGAATTCACCAACCAATCACAGCAGACTTAACGTGTACAAATACGGTTCGCAGGTATATGGTTTAAATTTCTGAGAAACGATCGCAAGCAGTACAGAATAACCTTCGGCTGGAGAACAACTAATCGGAAGAGGTTGCTTCACCACCAACAATAACGCTAATAATAATGTACATAAAAATCTATAAATATCTTTTTTGATTACAGCTTGATTCCACACCGTATCTCTTGATTTTCTCCATGAACGATCTGTTGCTTGGCCCTTGTCCTCTCTCGTTGCAAACTGACATCTTATGTGATTTGCAAGTATATTAAAATTTATTAAATATTGCCAAAGTAAAATTTAGTACAACACATTTAAGCGAATAATATTGTTTTCAATTAGATCTCATCAGGCTTAACTCTAATACATATATAAGTTTACAAATAAAATTCAAATATAAACCAATCATGGTGTTTTGTATGTAGGATAATACGATGGTGAATATAAATTGTGCAATTAGTCATAATAGTGGTAATGATAATAATGTTCTTGATGATAGTAATATTAATATTATGAACAAGAATATGTACACTTTTGATGTAAACTCGTTATTTACTAATGTGCCTTTGATCAAAACAGTTGACATTTTGTGTGATTATATTTCCACAAACAATTTTTTCATCCCGTTCCCTATATCTTATTGAAGGGATTTATCCCTTTTATGTACTAACAATGTTAGGTGTAGATTTCAGGCCGATTGTTTCCGCAAGGTTGATGGTGTTGCTATGGGCAGTCCGTTAGGGCCCATTTTAGCAGATATTTATATGTCGCATATTGAGAATTTATCGGAAGATTTAATCGAAAATGTGCCACTTTATAGAAGGTATGTAGATGACATCCTAGTCATCAGTGATAAGCCTTGTTCTGCTACCTCCATTTTAAATCGAATGAGTGAAGTTCAGAATAGCATATCACTTACATCTGTAGAAGAGGAAGATAATTGTTTATCTTTCCTAGACATATTGCTTAGTCGACGGCTTGATGGGTCAATAAAAAGATCTATTTATAGAAAACCCACATGGACAGGACAGTATCTTAATTACCACAGTTTCTGCCCTATGCGGTACAAAAGAGGCTTAGTAAGGTGCCTCTTCAGTAGAATCCGACGAATATGCACTGAAGACACGCTTGATGAAGAAGAAAGAATATTGACATAAACTCTGGTTGATAACAATTATCCAGACAAGTTTATCAGGAGATACAAAGTAGTCAGAACACCAAGACCCACTCTCCAACTCACCCCTAAGAAAGACGTGTACATCAAGCTACCCTATATGGGACATCAAAGCAGCCTGATAACTAGACAAAGGCTGAAAGCTGCTGTTAAAAAGACTTTTTATGCAGCTAATATCATAATATTAGAGAATGTAAAGCCTTTATATCTGTCTAAGCCCTTCGAACATGCGAATAATGACGTCGCATCTCACTGTATTTACCAGTTTGAATGTACGTGTGGACACACATACGTAGGGAGGACTCATCGATCCCTGCAAATAAGGGCTTCAGAGCACATTCCTAAATGGCTCCAGAAACAAATGGATTCTTCAGAACCTATTAACGGTGAGAACAGGAGACCTAGCTCCTCTATTGCGAAACATATTATAGAGACAGGTCATAAAATTGATGTTAACAGATCTTTTAAACCTATCTATAAAACGTGTTTGGGGCATATCCTAAAGTTTGTAGAAGCCCTAGCAATTAGAAAGTTCAAGCCACATTTATGCGTTCAAAAACAATTTGTCATCACATTAAACCTTCTTTGGTAAATTTCGTTTTGATACCGTAGCAGATGTACTATTACCTCTGTTATTTGGTTTAGTGGTCTTCATTTTTGACCTTGAATATGTCCTTTTAACTTGACCTAAGTCAATTTTTCTCACCTCTTACCTCTTTATTAATTATATATATATATTCCTATGACAAGTCCGTGTGTGATCAGATTGTTCGAAATGTGTTGCGCAAATACATTACACGATTCAGACAAATTACGTCTTCTTATTGCTTCATCTAAATTCATAAAGGGAACTAATTGTTTTAAATAATGGTCTTATCAATAATAAGGATGAGAAAGTCAGGCCATCTGTGATAACACGAATAATGAAAAACAGTATGATTAAACAAACAAATGTTCAGGTGCAAGTAGTCGATAAAGGCTTGTAAAAACAAATGAACCGATTGAGTTATGATAGATTGTAAGGGAAGTAAACGAAACACTTTTTTTAATGAAGATGTGATAAGATCAAGGGATGCTAAGAAAGAGGTTGAAATATCTAAGTAAGGGGTGGTGTAGAAGTCTTTAGTTGGTTATGTCTTAATAGGCCAACGAGGGAGGGATAATGGCTGTACGAACTTTTTCTGAATGCATAGTTTAGGTTTAATAGTTCGAATGCCTATCGCTTGCCCCAGCTGTGTGCAGTAGACGAATACGAAGTCTATTAGAAAGATTCGGTGGGATACGATGAATTACTTTGAAGGCTCTCGTTTTCTCGACTACATGACCACTATCAACTAAATGTGACAGAATTGAGCTACGAATTGTTTTTGTCTGTCCTTTGCCAAAACTATACCGTCACCTTTATCTGGCTTGCTAACAATTAAGCTTTCGTTGCTTCTAAGTTCTCTTAGAGCTTCACTGTGTTGTTTAGATAAAAGACTATTTACTGAATGTCCATTATTCTTGTATTGCTGGCAGCTGTCCACTAGCGTCGTTTTGAACCTAGTTAGTTCATCTCCCGATGATGGGGTAAGATCTGACGTTTGAGAATACAAATTTTGCAACTGTATATCAGTGTTTAATTGATCAACTTTAGGAGCATAATCACTAAATTTGGGACCTAGGGATAACACCTCCAATTAAGACTTATTAAGCCCGACACTGGTAAAATTGTGAACATACTGGCTCGTCTCTGAAATTGTTTCTGTACACAAACTTAACACTTTCCTTAGGCTGCAAACACATGATGAAAAGTCGAGGAAATTTGAATCTGCAAAAGCCACTGTAATTTTCGTTTCATTCAAAACGAATCCGTTGATTGAGAACTTTCGCTTCTTATCTGAGATTGAATCGGTTACCGTACACACAAATTCAAATGAATGCCACTTTTTATTGATCGATTTAAGCGCATTTTACTAACGGAAATAATCAGTGTTGAGTACTTTCCAGACATTGATTATATTTTTTATCACTAAATAATGAAGTATTTTCTAACAAAGAAATAATTTAGAAACATAAAGAATAGGTATAAACAATTAAAACGTAATTCAAAAGTACAGCCTAGAAAAATCAACCAATCAGAAGTGTAGAAATAAAGTTTATTCAGATCACATGATTGGTTGACTATTGGAATTTGCTCGTCACCATTATTATTATTATTATTAATTGTCAATCTGCTTACAACGTCGTAGTCATTAAAACTTCTTCAATGCACAAAAATGGTTATGCAATTGAAAAACTTCTTAAACGTAAATTATGCCGTGAAGAATATGATCGTTTACTGTTTTGGTCTGGTTCAATATGTCATTTGGGTACAGAGAAACCAGAATTCAAATATCTTATTATCGGTGAAGAATGGTTGTATACAATGACACATCCAAAACGACAACTTGACAGTAGAATACACTTTAGTGTATGCTAATTTCTGTGTTTTTACACTAAAACAACTATTGTGTACAGTCGGTTTTAGGTGTTGGATGTATTGGAGATTTAGCTAAATTTTTAAGCTGTCAAATTACACGAAATTATAATCATATCTGTGTGGAATTTATTGTTAGTGTACCACAAAAGTATCGATATTTTGAGGATACTGTTAAGACGATTGAACAAAACGTGAAAGTGAGTCAATATGATCATATTTTAAGTGTTTATCCAACGTACATTACATTATTAATTTCATTATAACATTTTTAAAATTATTTCTCCAAGTTTTGAGTGGAACATAGGCCTTCAAGCTAGAGCTCTGAGGTTTCGGCAGCAGTAGCTTTGTTTTTTAAGTGGTGGATTTGCTAGCTTCACGCCTAACCTTTAGCAGCCTTACTACAGGTTCATCTGCGTCTAGGAGTGTGTCAGCCAGGGATCGAACCCCAGACCATGTGAGGCGTGGTTGGAATGCGCTCTACCACTGAACCACTGAAGCACCTCATTACATTATTATTGTTCCCTTGAGTTCCTAGTGGTACAAAGGGCTTCAACTGCACGTCTCCACTTTCCACTTCTGCTGTACTTTTCACCTGCATCCATGTTAGTCCATACTCTTTCAACTCTTCTTCACATGATCTCCTCCATGCCACCCTTGCAATGACGTCCCACTCGCTGCTTCCCTTTCGGCCAGGTTCCACTCGAGCAATTGCCTGACGCGCGTGCGATGTCACCCAGTGGCCTCCTCAGCCACGAGTGTCCAATCCATCTCCATTTTCTCCTGCATATTTGTTGGTTGGCGATTGGTTCTTGTTTTGTTTGTTTGTTCCCATAGTTTCTTGTTGGTGATTCTTTCCGACCCAGCCATCTGATCTCCAGTATAGAGCCAGCGAAGACAGTTGTTGGTTGATAAAAGTCTGAAACAGGCTGTTGGAAATATTCTTTGTGACCCACCCACCAAGTTCCTGATTCGTATAGAAGACTTGATTGACTTGACGTTGTTTGTATTGAAAATCCGACTGGATTTTGTTGTTGATGCTGGCTGAGTGATGATGATGAGTGTGCGTCGATGGCACAGTGGTTAGGACTCTCGCCGACCATGCACATGGTCCGGGGTTCGAGCCCGCACCGACGCACATCTGATATCTATGGTCGGCCTGCAAAATTTGGGCTACCGATATCCATGCTGAAAATTCCATACTTCTACCGAAAATACAGTGTGGAATCAAGCTGTAAATCAAAAAAAAAAGATTTCCAGATTGGTTTCAGGTTGGTGAATTTGTTTCTCGCTCGATTTGACATCTTCGTCCGTTCCAACTGTCTGTAGTTGAGACAATGCTCCCTAGATAAGTGAAGTGAATGAAGTAACCTCTTTCAAATCCCACTCGTTCGTTGATGGTGATTGGCTCTGGATGTTGCTGTTGCTGTTGTTGTTGGTTGGTTATTTTCATAGGGTTATACATTATTTATTGTTTGCTTATGGTGTTTTGAGCATAATCGATTACTGCTCATAATCTGCATCAAGGTACTCAAACAACCTTCCAAATTCGTTTGTATCCATGAGTAAAATATTGATTAGACATATGAACGGATAAATGAAAGTCCTTATGAAGTTCATTAGACATACATGAAACATATCAGATAGGAAGATAAAGTATATTCGGAAGTAATAATAGTGTTATCAATAAAATATAATACGATGAGAAATAAGATGTTTTGTCAGCAAAATAAAATAAATAAAATGTTAGAATGTAATAATGTATAAGTGAAATAAAAATTAAAACACAAAATTGAACTAGAGTTTGATTGTAGGGATTTGATTTAATTCAAGTTTGGTGACAAATCGATATCAGTTAGAGAACCACCATTGAAAACCCCACTGAAGTGTACTGAACAGTTTTTTAGTCAGCCTAGTTTGAGCCTCATCGACAGTTACACACCCTCTGAGTTTTGGTCCCAAGACTAATTTGCCTGTAGTTCTAGTGGAAAGTAGTCACTAGCAGTGGGGTCTACCTGGTCGGGAGTGAGGACAAATACTCACCACCAATGGCATTGACTGGTATCGGACGCTCTAAAATCACGAACTTGTAGGAGTTGGAATTCTTTGACTGGGCATTTTTGGTCAGGTCCCAGTGGCAGAATGGTCTGCGAGTCTGACTTGTAACCGGAAGGTCCTGGGTTTGAACACTGGTGGTGGTTGCGCACGGCTGATGAGTTCCGAACTAGGAAGAAAGAACTGTCCAGTACTCAACGGTGGTTTTCAATGGTGGTTCTCTAACTGATATCAATCTGTGATCAAACGTGAGACTACCACTGATCGTTAAAAACCCATTTTTTAAACCAATAAATTGTAGTCCCATTAATTATTATTATCGTTGAAAACTAAACAATTTGACAATTCTTAGAATCATTATTTGTAATTTTGTGATGTTTGCATCAATGAGTTGAACATTTCGGTAGTGGTAATGTGAACTGGGAAACAGCTGCCTACATTTAAAAAGTGTCCATTGGTACACTATACTACTGATTATCAGTTCAGTAGCAATTTGAGTTAATTAGTCGTATGAATCTCGATTGGCATATGCTCCATTGTCATCCTAGGTATCATTGTTGGTAGAATGATAGAAATAGCTTTATTCTGAACAATCTTTATACAGTATACAGGATTTTTGACGGAAATTAATACACAATGGTTTCTGTTAGTTCATGATCTTCAAGTAAATTATTATTATTGTTTCCTTTAGTTCCTCGAGCAACATAGGGTTTCAGCCTCACGTCTCCGTTGCGTTTGGTTCTCCGCCGACGTTCTCACCTGGATCCACGTCTGACCATACGCTTTCATCTGCTTTCCACATGACCTCCTCCATGTTACCATTGCACTGACGACCGACTCGCCGCCTCTAATTCGGATTTCACTCTAGTGATGGCTTGGCGTGTATTGTCACTTCATGATTTTCTCAGAGTATGGCCAGCCAGTCCACCTCCCTTTCTTCCTGCAGACTGAATGCTGTTGACATCCACTCAAACTTGCTATAAATGGAAGCTTGCCTTGCTTTCCTGATCCTCGCTTCCATGATATCCTCATCAGTTCTGTCCGTCTGTAGTTGAAACGTAGCTTTCCAGGCAGGTCGATAGGTAGGTAAATGAGGTTGCTTCTTCCAGATTTCTCTCGTTTATGCAGATTGTTGTCTGTTGTTGTTGCTGTTGGTTTTGGTCAGGGATCTTCACTACCTCTGTCTTCTCTGTGTCCACCTGAAGTCTTTCCTATCTTCGATGCTTCTTCTGCCAGCTTGTTGCTTTTCACTTGCATTTCTTCCAGTTTGTAAGTAAATTGGTAACTGACAGGAAATCGTGCTACACACTGTTGTCTAACCTGTAGAGCATACCAGACCCCTATAGGATATTTCGCTTTTGTCTCTCTTTTGGAGAAATGTACAAGATTTGATTAAAAGCCTATCAAAAAGAGTGTAGGAGTAAGTTTTTCTGACCTAGGGACTTAATAATACCTGAATAATTAAAGACGAGAGGTTATTTGGCAACTACTTCGCTACTACGGGGTAACACCGACAATTATACATCTCATCCAACAGTTGTACGACAATGCTGCATGCCAAGTAATCCACAACGGGAAACTTACGGAAGCCTTTGAAGTGAGGACGAGAGTGAGGCAAGGCTGTCTACTATCGCCAATGATCTCCCTGATTGCAGTAGATTGGATAATGTGACCCACAGTGGCGGACAGTGAGGAAACAGGCATAAAATGGACTCACACAAAAAGAGACTTGGAGGATCTGGACTTCGCTGATGATATATATATATCTGATTTGCCACAAACTGGAAGGTATATGCAAGTGAAAAGCAACAAGCTGGCAGAAGAACCGCCAAAAATATGACTTCACTTCAGGTGAACATAGAGAAAACAGAGGTGATGAAGATTCCCGGCCAACAACAACAGCAACAACGACAGACAACAAACAGCCAGCATAAATGGGAGGAACCTGAAATAAACAACCTCCTTTACCTACCTACCTGGGAAGGATCGTTTCAACTACAGGCCGGTGGAACTGTGGAGGATATCAAAGTCAGAATCGGAGAAGCAAGACAAGCTTTCATTAGTCTGAAGTCTGTGTGGAGGTCAACACTGAGCTCAGCATGAAGAATAAGATCCGGATTTTTGACTCCAATGTGAAATCAGTGCAACTTAATATACGGATCGGAGATTTGACCAGCGCGTCATAAAGAGCATCTCAAACAAACTACAGACCATCATTAACAGTTGTCTTCGCTCAACACCACTCAAGATGAGATGGCCAGAAAAGATCAGAAACAGGGAGGGATCTCTTGCAATGAGCGAATCAACCTAGTAGGAACCGATTGTGAAACAAATAGGCAGGAAGAAATATAGATGGATTGGCCATACTCTGAAGAAACCATCAAGTGAGTGACATCACTAGACAGGCTATTGCTCGAGTGGAACCCGAAAGGGGAGCGGCGAGTTGGTCTTCAATGGTAGGGTAGAGTGAATTGGAGGAGGCCATTTGAAGAGGAGATGAAAGCATGTGGGCAGACTTTGAGTGGGGTGAAAAAGTTGGCAGAAAACTGAATGCAATGGAGACGCGCAGCTGGAGCCCTATGTTTCTCTAGGAATTAAAGGATATAATAATAATAAATAAAAGACTGCAGTGTAATTGGTCTCATTACTCAGGCAGTAGCAGTTTGTACTTCCACGATTTTGCATTCCTTCAAATCTAGTAGAATGTTGCAAATCAGTAGACTGTAGACAGTTGAAATACTCGTGAAAGCAGAAAACACCATTAGAGTTCATGTTTTAGTAGAGTGAACAAGGGAAATTATATGCAATCCAGTAATGGAGGTTTTCGGTAGCCTAGTTTTTAAATAGGCCACCAATTTTTAACTCATTCATAAGTGTAATCAGTTTGTTGCTCATGTATATTAATGAAGTTAGAAAGTTATCCGAGTAAATTGATGTAGATTATGAGTGGTAATCAGCTGTACTCAAAACTTTATCAGTATATAATAAATATTGTGTAACCTTGTCAGACTTTAACAAATAAATTTACTCTACGATGGGATCGCATTCTATGATATTATTATTATTATATCCTTTAATTCCATCCTTAATTTCCATTGCCTTCTGTTTTCTGCCAACGTTTTCACTCCACTCAAAGTCTGCCCAC